AGCCCATCTGGGCCAGAGGCCTTATGCCTTTTGAGATAACTTATTTCCCCAGATACCTCCATTTCAGATGGAGGACTAGCATCAACTGGGAGTATTTGTTTAGTCGAGGCGGAGAGTGAAAGATAAGGTGTCGATGGGGGCCAGTTGAAATGAGCCTTGAAATGCTAAACCCAACGGTCAATGGTCTCCATTTATTCAATTCGTAAGAAGTCTTAGAAAATCAAGTGTGGCCTATAAACCAATGTCGCTCTATAGAAGCAGAAGAACTGAGGAAAATATACACAACATGCTGAGCTTCCATGCTCTTTTAGCCAACCCAATGGAAACTGCAATCTTGACAAACAGTTAGTGCATGTTCAAAGGACGAAAACTAGTAACCAACTTAGATAACCGGTAACGGAAGCGAGTACTCCAGGGACGAATTTGGAAGATCAAAGAAGAAGTCATAAATCGAATCACAAGCGTGAAACAAACTATGAGAAAAGAACGTAGTGAATATCTACACGATAAACCACTTCAGTCGTGTAAAAACAGAGACAGCGTATAAATTAAACGTCATTCAATTTTAAAAAGAGCTGAAAAGAGGAAGAGAAACACGGTGGAAAACGAATCTCGATATGATGCAAAACAGATACAGATGATTCAATATGACACAGATGTATATTCAACTGACACGAGACCGAACAGTCTGGTTTCTCATTTTCCGTAAAAGCACGACTGTATCTGCGATAAGACAATGATAGGCAACCAATCACGTAACTTGAAAGTATTGTCCTGTTGTGACGGCTTCGAAGTAACATCTATTGAAGATAAAGCGCTTTGCGTAGCCGTGTGAGATAGTTTCACTGCACGGTTCATAGGGGTATTGGCGTCAAGCAAGGAACTCAAAAGTGCTGTGCTTGAGTACAGTTTTCTTCGTAGCACAATCAGAATGTAGTGAGACAAACCAGAGAGCAACGGTGGTATTTTATTTAACACAGATAAACTGTGGTTAGATGCGAAGTGAAATGTTCAAATAACAAAACATTATTGATTAGAATATATCAGGTAGACTACCTTAACGCATTAATGGCGTAAAATCCAGTAACGAATAGGAAATGATGGTGAGTTATGGAAGATCTGCCTGTTCAACCAAGTCCAATCCGCTAAGTGCAATTACCCGGTCGAAATGTGGGATTCGCTGCGCGGTTTAAAACAGTAAGTTTCGTTGGAAAATGTTATAAACAAACAGGAATTAGATGTATGTATATATTTCGCTAACGCGTCCAAAACTATAGTGTCTCGTTCCATTTTTTCTACATATTTTTCACTATAGGAAAGTAACCAACATTATGCTGACCAGGTTATTCGTTATTCGTCGAAAGGTTGGACTATGACTATCATTATTGTTGCATTTATTTGATTCCAACAAAGATGGGAATTGGTATTGAATGCTGGTGTCCGTGCCTTTATCCACCAGTTAGTTACCACCTTCAAAATTAAAAATCTTGACCTTTTTAATCTTTAGTTTCAGCTGGATGAAGCTCCAAATTACCTTTCTCAATCATCACTTTTGTACCCAAAGTCGTTCCCCCGACAGTGGTGGCTCCTCCATCTTTGATTTTCTATCTTCGAATGTTGAGCACTTATTTTCGACGGACCCAAACTGCCGCTTTCATCTTGGGGGATTCCAACATTCATAATCAGGAATAATTGACACATTCTTCATGAACTTCAGCAACTTTATCCGGCAAACTCAAATCCCCCGACTGGTTTGACCACACACGTGATCATGCTGTACGCCAAAACTCTCAGAGTTCCGCTACTGATGCCGCTTGCGCACTCCCACCATCACTTCGTGCAAGCTAGGAACAGGTTCTTACCAGCCAAAAATTTGGTCTCATTCGCCACCGCCAACCGAACACCATTGTTCCTTGTTAAAGCAATTTGCCGCGATTTTCATCCTTCCGATTTCCCCCTAATCCGCACTTCCTGAAGTGGTTTGCGTGTCAACCACACAAGAAAGCTGAGTTTTTGTTTCCCGGTTTCCCGCCACCTCCAGCTTACCCAACTATCCTACTCCACCTTCTGATTTCATTGGCAACCCTTTCCTACCCCATATCAGTATTAGGAAAGTCCACCAAACACTGAGCTTTCTAAACGTAGAAACACCCACTTGGTCCGGACGGTATTCTACTCATTATCCTCAAAATGTGTTTTCACGAGCTGGCTCCTATTTTGCGTAGTCTTTTTGTCTTTCCTTTCAACTTTCTAGTTTTCCGTTGGAAACGTACCATGATTTTTCTCGTTCCCAAACGCGGTGACTTTTTCGACTTCGATAATTACAGCCCTATCTCTCATACTTCTATCCTTTGGGAAGTACTGGAAACCACCATCTCCGACAGCGTCGTTCCACCGGAAACCTGCTGGCTTTTGTCTCACAATCCTAACCACCTGCACTCGATAACCACTGAGAAAAAACTTGGTCTTGTTTGATACTCCAAAAGCCTTCGATCGACTATGACAGAAGGTCTGAAGGTAACTCTTCATGTTCAAGCTCTCTCCGGCCCTTGTATCGTGGATATCAACCTTTCTCTGCAAGCGAACAATCTTTGTCCGAGTTGACAGGGTTCTATCTCAGCCATTCTCTGTGAATACTGCCGTCCCTAGGGTTTAGTAATTTCAACCACCCAC